GTGATGGGGCTCTTCAGCTTGAGAGTTCTAAAGTTGTTATTCTGTTTGATGAATATGGAGTTCCGTATGATAGCATGCATTCTGAACGGAAGGAATCAAATTTTCTTGTGGAGGAGTTTATGCTTTTAGCGAATAGAACAGCGGCCGAAGTAATATCTAGAGCTTTTCCTGATAGTGCATTACTGCGAAGGCACCCGGAACCTAACCTGCGCAAACTCAGGGAATTTGAAGCATTTTGTTCCAAGCATGGTCTAGAATTGGATACAACTTCTTCTGGTCAGTTCCAACTTTCATTAGAGAAAATCAGGGAAAAGCTCAAGGATGATTGCGTTCTGTTCAATATTCTCATGAATTATGCCACAAAGCCAATGCAGCTGGCTGCTTATTTTTGTAGTGGGGAATTGAAAGACAAAGAAAATGATTGGGGTCACTACGGGTTGGCAGTTCCTCTGTACACTCATTTCACTTCACCGCTACGTCGGTATCCTGATATTGTAGTGCATCGTACGCTAGCCGCGGCTATAGAAGCTGAGGAGTTATTGTTGAAACATCGGAGAATGTTGAATAATTTTAACAGGGGAGATGAATGTAGAATGAAATGTTTCACTGGTATTTATTTCGATAAAGATGCTGCTGAGTCCTATGAAAGTAGGGAAGCGTTATCAGCTGCATCAATAAAGCATAGAATTCCCTGCTCTGAATTGCTTACTGATGTTGCTGCTTATTGCAATGAGAGGAAGCTGGCCAGTAGACATGTCAAGGATGCTTGTGACAAGCTCTACATGTGGGCCCTGCTGAAGAAAAAAGAGGTATGATATTTTATTTTAGCTTTCTTTCTCTCTTTTGGTTTGTTAATGATATCATACTGCATTATGTGACTGATAATGATGCTTTTGTGTCGGGACCTTTTTTCATATTATGTGAACTCATGAGTTTATTTGGATATATTTGTACTTCCTGAATCCTATTAAGATGGTAAATCTATCTTCGTTGTTGCTATTTAGCTGAAGAGCAGTGTGTCACAAGTTTTCGGCTCTCATTTCATCACCTGTAACCTGGTAGAGAATGATGATTCTATAATTTGATGTGCCAAAATGAACTGATGAGCTCCTATCTTGTATCAATTTGTGTTGTTTCATAGTGACCATGGCATCATCTGATTCCCTAGCATCTAGTGTTAAAGAGACTTATAGCATCTTCTTAGCAATCCTTGTCTTGAATCTTCTGTCTTTGAGCTAATGGTTTGTAAAAGAGGTGGACCTATAATCATTTTGGAGCGCTCTCATTTTGCACTTTATGCATTGGATATATATATATTTTTTCTGTGTTTAATATTTGGGTTGTTTTTTCCTGGTTTCAGATTTTATCATCAGAAGCAAGAGTAATGGGTCTAGGACCTAGATTCATGTCCATTTATATCCACAAGCTAGCTGTAAGTAGCTTTCTAACTGTTTTGTATCTTTATGCGACTGCAGTATGGGGATCCTTTTGCAATTAACTGTTACACCTACTACATTGCCTTCAGGTTGAACGTCGAATATATTATGATGAAGTTGAGGGCTTGATGGTCGAATGGCTTGATGCCACATCCACATTAGTGCTGACTTTATGTTCTAACAGACGCTCGCTCAGGAGAGGTAGTCCTGGTAAATTTAGGGCACTTGAAGATGTTGCCTTGGTCATAAGACCTTATGACCTCAAAGCTGAACTGGGTGCAGTTGGAAATAGTACTAATGAAGGTGCTGCAGCCCAAGATGTTGGTGTAGCCACCCATTGTTCTAACGAGAGTGAAATCGATCCTCTGGTTTTCCCCCTGACTCTGCGTGTTCTTTCAACAATTCCTGTAGTACTTCATGCAATTGGGGGTGATGATGGACCCATTGATATCATGGCAAGGCTATACATGAGCTCATATCTCTGCTAGATTGGGGTTTTGAATCAGTTGACGCACTTGTTTGCGATGAATGGAAATTTACAAAGATAAATGATGATAGGGCTTTTTATGGTAATGGGCAGGCTCTGTTGTAGATACGAAACTAGTGTATAGTCCGAATAGAGTCTTAGAAGAAAATAATAATTTTACGGTTTAATCTCTGCCAATGCTCTATGGGATATGTCTTATGCTGAAACGTTTTCGTGGGAGGTGTTGATAAGGGTGGGTGGTTGTGTGTGGTGGTGGTGGCATTGGCTTTATAGCAGCTGTTTTTAACAGAGCTGCTTTACTGGAAGAGGCCCCTGTTTTTGTTGGCCAGTTCCATCCAGTGTAACTTGGTTAAAATGCGCCCGTGGCTGGCGCTTAGACACCGAGTTTCTTAGCCGAATTTGTGGTTTAATTTTCTTTTGTGTTATATATTCCTGGACTGCTGCCCAATAAAGTTTTTGGCTTTGGGTGACCAGGATTAGTGGTAAGACATTAGCTATATGTTTGGTCTGTCATAAACGACTGGTAGTCTCCCAGTTGAATCACATGTATGTTATCTTTGTGCTCAAATGAAACAAGGTAACACTTTTTTATGTTTGTTTATGCAATGAATTATTTTTCTTTCTTTCTTTCTGAGTATTTATTCTGAATGAGATGAGGATTATTAAACTAAACATTTGATGTTCTTCATGATAAATGCGTTAGTTTTTTTTATAAATTATTTTCTCAAAGAGGTTTTTATTTTTTATTGGAATCTTTTTTCTATCCGGTTTTCCAACCCTATGCTATGCCATCTCATTATTCCATTAATCTTTTAAGATTTATTCCGAAATAAAGAAGAATTATATAACTATGAATATTATAAAATTAACATTTTTCCGAAAATAGAATTATAAAACTATAAACCTTAGAAAATTAATATTTTTGGTTTAAAAAAAAATATTATTCTAAGAAAAAGTTAAGATGTCCAGTTGCGCAGCCAAACAATAGGTGCCGAAAGTTTTCGCGGGAAAATCTAAGAAAGAGAAGAAGATGGCGTCAGTTATCGGATGGTACGGACCGCTCATCGACTTGTCCAAGGCGGCGCTTCACGTCGGCGATTACGTTCAGCTCGTCGTCTTCGTCCAACGAACGACTCCTCTTCAGGTGTCGTATCTCTCTGGACTCTCTGTCTGCTATTTCCTTTCCTTTCTTTTTCTTTTTTATATTTTTAAAATAAGAATTTTATTTTCTCAAAGTATAAATTGTCAAAAGGCGGAGAGGTAATCCGAACGGATATCCAAGTGGGAGATGAGACGAGACCGTTCTTCTCCGTATCCTTATGGCAGAAGCCAATGGCATCCATGGCTGTAGCTGGCGACGTCGTTTTGTTACAAAGTGGGTAAAGCTGCAACTTGCAAGCTTTAATCTTTTTATTTGATTTATTTTTTTAAAAATCCAATTAATCTTATACATTTGAATTTTCTTGCTGATATATACATTCTAGCCTGTCAATTAATCACTGTCTAATTTTATTTTGGTGGTATTTTGATTTCAGATGTGAAGATAACAAAATATGGTGATGTTGTTGAGGCCAGAACGCACCACTACTCATCCTTACAATGTCTACTTCACCCTTATGATTCCATCCTTACTAAAGGTATAATATTTTTACAAATCACTGAAAGAGAGTGTAATGTCCGACCTGTTGTTAGGCTGTGAATTGGGATATTTTATTTACGAAAAGAATTTACAAAAAGAATAATCTTGATTGATAGTATGACAACATAACATGTTAGATTGTCTGGCAAAAGACGTTACATGCTCATAACTTTTAGAGGCCAAAGTGTAAGAGGTTGCTCTTCTAATATTTAGGTGTCAATGACCTGATAGAGGAGTGTAGAGTTGGGATAGCAACAAAAGAAAAGCTTAGAAAGGTAGTAGAATGGGTGAAGAAGAGCAACACAACTCATGAGTTCCATGGCTGTCAGCTGCAGGAGGGGCAACTCTCAAGAAACTGGAAGCTCCCGGAAGAGAGGAAACAGCCTAAGGACTGTTTTTCACTTTCGCAATTATCACGCCTACCCGATTCTTGCGAGGCCGTCTTTTATGCATCCGTTGCTGAAATTTTTCTGCCCTTTACCTTGTCATCTTCTGCTGAATGTGAGTTACTTGACAAGGAAGACATGTTTGTCCGTAGGAGATTATATAAAACAGGAGATGGCGGTTTAGCAACAGATCTCATTTGTACAGGCTGCCAGCTTTGTGGTTCCCCTTTGGAGCTGGACAGGTATGGATATCAGAGCATCTGAGATTTCTTATGCTTTGGTACCATGGCAATGTGTGATTTTGGTTGCTTAATTAATGTCAATGGTGAATTCTTTGGTGCATTTCTCTGCAGTGAGAACATGTTTAAGCAGAATGGAGTTGCACTTTATTGTTCGGAAAGCTTGAACCGCCTTCATGTCATAAGCCTCATATACAAGCCCTTCATGGTATGAACTTTTTTTCCCCTCTAGTTTAACATTTCAACCATGATTTGTTTCAGCCTCGTTGTTTTTCTGAATTCTTGATTGTTATATGCATGTTAAGCATGGCTATTTCTCTTGATCCATCTGCAGTTGTATGTATGGGACGAATCGGATTATGCGCCACTCCTGGTCAGAAACAAGGCCGCAGAGCTCTTGTTTGGGAACATCAAGGCTGAAAGAGTCTATTCATGCTATAGGGGGAGAAAGCATGCTGGAGAAGTTGATTTAAAAGAGATTCCCACACATAATGCTAAAAGCATCGGGCAACCTAAAGCTGCCACCGACAAAGGAGTTTTGGTTTCTTGTTCATCTGATGTACACAAGAAGAGCTTGGAAGGAAAGGGAAAACACCGTTTTCAGGAAAATATGGACCTCTATGGGATTTGGTTGATTCTTCTGAAAACACTGCTGCAGCAAGGAAAGAACAGCCCTTTCAGATTCGAAGTCAATGTAAATGCTGGTTTGGATAAGGAAAATGGGAGGTTTGAAATGATTTCTGTGCAGATGCCATGCTTCAGAACCAAATGATCTTCTTATAATATTTAATGTTCATGTTGTAACAATTAAGGTTCATGAGTCATAAATTTTCTGCTCAGCTTCAAAGCAATTTTCATATGGAAGTTTCATCCGAGTGAGATCTAGCATGAACTCATTCATAATTAACAACTTCTGAGTGATTATTAACCCATGAAACAAGAGAGCTCCGAACAGAAACAAAGAGTCATCATTACAGAAAGGGATTTAGCTTTTACAGCAAAGCAATCTGAAGAGAAAATGATAGCAGCCAAGAATGCGGCCTATTGCTCCATATGCACAAGACTAGGACTCGGCTCCGGTCTCAGCAAAAGAAGCATCAGTTGCAGAATGTTGGGCATCTAAGAGCTGCTTTTGGCGTTCAGCATGTTCTCTTTCACACTGAGTGATTCCCATAATAATATCAAGCATGGTACCAGTTGTGCCAAAGAACACAAGTGGAGCTAAAGATTTCTTTTTTATCCCTACTGGAATTGCTAGCAACGCCCCAGCTACTGAAAATACCCAAGTGCCCAATGCGCTGCAGATAATCATGTAGAGTATCACTTAACTACTCTTCAAGGTAAAAAATAAACCAGGACAAGATGAAACCGGGAAAGATTATCGTTACAATGCCAAAAAGAGCAAGAGCTTAAGAACCTATTGTGTAGTGAATTTGATATGCTGTACTGAAGTTAAGCCAAATGATATGACAGAATGTAACAAAAATCTAGAAATCTTATTCATAATTGTTCATAAGATATACAAAATAGTGAGGGCTAATAAATGAATGCCTCAACATTTTTCTCATTCATGAAAAAGCATGGATCCATGGGACAAGATAAACAATCAAAATGAGAAGCATCAATCTCCATAAACAACCATAAAAATGAGGAACAAAGCAGCACAGTACTCCGGATAGCTTCGATATTGAAGGGCAATTGTGAAAACAAGTTTCAGTAGACAGGTCAAAACAAGTTGTGTATAGAAATCTGTTAATTTATTTTCAACATCAATTTATATAATATTCTTTTTGACATGTGGAACACTAATATGTAATAATATAATGACTAAACTGTTTCAAGATCTATGCATGATATGTGACGAAAAACACTTCATAACACCAAGAACATTGGTTAATGTTAGAAATGTGAGTGACTATAGGCAAAATCTGTCATAGGGAAGCCTTGATCTATCTTATTGTTCAATGATTTGGAAAACAAGTAAATTTCACTTTAAAAATGGCACCCTCAAGAGCTCAGGAAATGATTGAATATGCAGAGTTAAAAAAGAAAATTCAACAAAGTATGATCACACAGGTAGAACAATCTTCTATGTTAAACCTTAGCTTATCATATAACTGCTTAACACATCCAATAAAATATGTCATTGCTTCCAATGCCATACTGTCATCATGGAACACATGAGAAGGATCATTTTGTCAAACATTTATCTCATTCATGCTAAGAACCAGAAAAGGCCACAAACTTCCAATGAATTCCCAACGCTTTAATAAGAATTACAGTCACTGCAGTTCTAAAATGGTAAAGATATTTGAAACAAGAAATTTATTAATTCAAAAATTTGGAGAGCACCAGTGACACTTCACAAACATAGAAATAGTAAAGATTCAACAAGTAAAGGAAGAAAGACTAAACTCACTTGGAAACTGAGCAATCCTCAAGGTGCTTAACAGGCTCTTGGCTTCCCATTCTTCTGTTTTTAGCTACACTTTGTGGTTATGAGAAGCAATCCACCTCAATCCTGTTTCACTCTGTTGTCAGTTTAAAAAACTGTAGCTTCTCTTCCTCATTTTACTAAATAGGATACTTGTCAAACCATGAAGCTCTGGAGAAGATTTTGATTGTGAAAGTGTTTCAAATGAACACAAAAACATCAAACTAATATGCTGGACATGGGCAATCACCAAAACCCTAGACACAGTGTAAAAGCCCAAAGCAAAAGCAGAACAAAAAAGAAGGAACAAATAGCGATTGAAGTTTGAAAATTTATTGATACCCATTGAAGTGTACGGCAATTGAAGCTCACCTGATCAGGCACAGAGCCGAGAAGATGAAGCTTTCCAGAGTCTACTGAGTAAAACTTTTGATTTTGTGCCCTGAGATTCGGTCCTTACTTACATGGGCCTGGTCGGGTCTTTTTCAGGAAAGCCCAAATTCTGGCCCACCTGATATAATGGAGTTATAGAGGAAGAGGAGTGAAATCAAAGGAGGAGCGAAAGATGATGAGAGGTGTAGGAGGGCCTCTTCTATGCATAGGCGATCTGCTGAGCGATGTAGGAGAATCAGATGCTTCACCACCACCACCACCACCACCACCACAACAACAACATGAACCCTCTTCATCTTCTCCTATTTCCAGCTCCACTGAAAGCTTGGACCTCACCAAGTTATTCCAGGTTTCTTATTTCACAATCTCATTGCTTGTTTGATTCTCATTTATTTGAATTCATTTGCATGACAGAAAATCCTTTTGAGAATTAGGTGGGTTTTTCACATTTTTGTTTGGAAATTTGCAAACCCAGTAAGAGAAAATAATAAATACTAATTTGGACTTGAGGACCTTTTGGTTATGCATCAAGTACTGTTCACCCAATTATCTATGGCTATCAGATTATTGTAAATGTATTGTGTTCAATAGGCAGATGGGTAAAGTGCATAACTTTATATGGAAATTGGATTTTTGAGGTTATGAGCAAATTTGGTTAATTTCATCAAAGTGTTGGTCTAAATGATGTTGGTGTAAGGTTTTGCTAACTGCTTTGAAAGAGAACAGTTTTCTGCATTTTAAAAATAGTGTTGCATTCTCTTATTTATATGGGAGTGTTCCTTATTCCATATACCATGTTTGCTTCAGGAGAACTATGAGCAGTTGAACGAGGCGCTTGTGGGTACAGACCACTCATGGGCAGCTCTTACTTTGAAGGTGATGAATGATCCGTATTAGAAGATATGAAATGCATACGTATAGATTCTGCATGGATGAGCATTTTTATGTTTTCCCTTATGGTAAAATCTATTGCATTACAATTATCATTTACATAATTAGGTATGTAGAAAGAAAAACCCTCATAACACCATACAAATTAATGTAGAAAGAAACCTCCTGTAATGTATTTGACAATCACTCCTCACAGAAAAAAGGCCCCATAATCTATTTGGCAATTCCTTCAAAGTTGTATGGACAGAAGGTTAGAAGGATAGCACATTACTTTTTATTTGGTACAACAACATATTGATTTTCATTGGGTGCATCGTGAATGTTTTGTTGATTGAGGTACACTGTGGATTGATGTATACAGTGGACAGCTTCTGAAAAGTTATTAGTGGTTTTTAATATTTGTTAAGAGCATTTAGTAACACTAAATTTTTGTGCTTGGGTTAAGAAATTACCAACGTTGCGAGTTTTAAAATATTGTATATATTCTGATTTTTTTTCTCTTTTTAAAATTATCCCAGTTATGCAGTGCTCTGGATACTGCGAACAAGTTAGTTCAGTCAACAAACTCAAATGTCATGTCGTTGTCGGAGAAGGTTGGAGAGCTTGAGGGAGTTGTCAAGAGGGCAGATTCTGCCATAGCAGCAGCAAGGGTCGTCCATGGCTCACTAAACAAAACAGAGGGAAAACTTATCGGCAATGAAAATGTCAAATGATCTATGTCTCCTAAAAAACAAGGTTAGTTTGTTTAAGGGAAAAGAAATGAACATACCAACTCTTAAAAATTGTGAGGCTCCCTTTAATGTAAGAACTTAAAAGTTTCTCAATTAATGTAAAAGATATTAGATCAAGATTCAAAGTCTTATTGTCGCATGAGTGTAGGCTGCTTCTCCTTTTAAAAATCTTCCTCTGTCTTTAGTTATAAAATACCCCTTGTGACTGAGGATGCTAAATGCCATATCAAGAACTGTAACTGTAAGCATGTTTAACATAATAAACTTTTGATAGTTTTTTCATTTGCACAAGAAAATGATATTTTAATTATCTAAGGAGAGTAAGAAAGGAAACCAGCATGATACAATTAAAACTTTGCGTCCTTTATGGATAAAGATCAGACCCCTCTCTTGCTTATTCTCTGAAAACGGCTCATTAAACTGAGAATTCTGGTTTCTACAGTTTATAGATTTAGTCCAAGTAGAAACCTGTAGAGTATACATCTTCATGTAGAAATTTTCCCACCATAGGGTTCATGGTCTCACTAGGATAACAAATCTCTATCCTTCATTCCTATTTTCTTGATATTATTTGTGAATCACCAAGTTCATAAAAACCTTTTATTCTTGATATTCTTAGTTGAGAAGTTAACAGTCTTAAAGGTCGGTTTGGTTCTTGTATTCTTATTTACTATATGCTCCATCAAAAAACTCCCTAGTATAACGTAGCATTGGTAATCTCATTGACTTGGCTATTGATTAGTCGAATGATTCCAATATGCATTGATGAATCCGATCATCCGAAGCTGTGACATTATTGGCTTTTGATGTCTTCATAGGACCTAACTTTCCAGTGTTGAGGTGAATATTGTTGAGAAATCTGTAGACTGTTGTTTCTAGTCCCAGAAACTAAATGGGAGTGCTTGCTGTTTGAAACCTAGGATTGTAAACACGTATGAAGCCAGGTCTGTTTAAATTGTTGAGTAGTGTAGAGGTGTGTTTTAGAAACCGGCTGCTCGTCATGTGGTTGCTGAGAAAGATTACCACTTGTACTTCCCAATTCTCCCAGTGTTACTTTGATGCTTTGCTGTCTAAACCAGAAAGATATATTCTTAATGTAACTTGATAAACTAAAAGGAAGGAAAGTAAATAATGGCTTTGTTTTTGTCTTTGATTTTCTTGAAAGAATGTGAAAATTGAGAATATGTTAGAATGGAGGTTGAGGTAGCTACAGATTGTTCTTCATGTCCATTGTTTTGAAAGAAGTGATATAAAACTCTTGAATGTTCAATAGATGATATTGGGGTGTCCCTGACACTCTAGACTAAGATTACAAAGTGGCCCAACTCCACTTGTTAATTTGAAACCTTGTAAGGGTTCAAACCCAATTGGGGTACAACAACTGGGGTAACTACTGATAGCTCCTCTTTTTGAGGTGGCTCGTTAACCTATTATACATAAAATCAATCATCTTAATGCACATTCTATAAATAATCTCTTCCGTGGAATCTGGCTAGTTGCGTGGTGAAACCAGAACTTGCACTCTACAAAATCGGCTTATATTCCCGTGTGAGAATTTGGTTCCTAACACAAGGGCAACCCTTGAGTGAACGAGAATTATTGTCCTTGGTTGGTTTTTGTTTTTGGTTCCTAAAAAGAGAAAGATATATAGACCTTGTGCTATTAAATACTTCAACAAGAGAATAAAATCGTACTGAATTTTCTATTTAATTGAAAGGTGAACTCAGCATTATGGTGGGTGACAATATAGCCTCACTTGCTTCCAAATTTAACCATGCATCACAAGATAAACAAGACAACGCTGTCAACAACCCACTGTTTGATCTGTATTCCAAATCACCGCAATTTGCACCTTCTTAATTAATTAAAGTCACTGTCTGTTTTCAATAGAAAACCCATTTGGTGCTTTTGAAACCCCCATTTAGAAACTAATTTAATATCATAAACATAAACAACTACTTTTTTTTTTTGATTAAGACATAAACAACTACTTAATTATTGCTAAACAAGACAATTAAGTAGCCATCAGTAATCACACACAGTGACGTCACTGCCTCCCATCTTTAATCTTCTTATTAAGTTTTTTTATTTTTAAAAAAGATAAATTCAAGGAGTGCCCATGACGTGCAACAATTATCTAGGAACATAAACTATGGCTCCACGTGGAAGAGACCCAGAAGCCCTCCTACCTACTCCTAGGTCTCAAAACTTTTGTGGGTTTATTTCCAACCTTCTGGTTGCACACACGTCTATCAAATTTAAAATAGTACGTTTGTTGTTTGGTCCACTGCTTGGTCTCTCAGCTATGTGCAGCTAAAGTTTGGATTAAGTTTAGGTTTCAAATTAAAGTACTACATTGGACCAACCAGTTCCATTTTCAGATATTGTAAGATTGTCAAACTGGAACATTACATCATGCTGGTGAAATGTCTTGCTCATCTTCACGTACTGCTGAAACTTGTAAAAAACTAATTAAGGCCAAAGTGGTTTTGGCTTTGATTAACTACTACTAGTTAATTTCATTGTAAAATGAACATAACTTGCATTATGGAAATTGTCCAAAGCCTATGAACTTACACCAGCCATCGTTTTTTCAGTGGGTGAGGGCAAATTAATAACCAAGTGGGTTTGCTTGTACTGTTACAAATGATGAGATCAGAAAATGAAGAAGATAACAAGGCTCCATTTGGAACTGCTTTTGTAGGAACTTATGTGTATAAGTGCTTCTTCACAAAGTACTTTTATTATCCATTAGCACTTTTATTTCTGCAAGTTTACACCTCTCATTTTCTTTTTAATTTTTTATAAGTCGTTGCTTGAGACGCGTCTGTTCATGGTCAGACATAATATCGATCAGTAAATGTTTAAAAGAATTTAGGTTGGCTTCCTTAATTATGTGCCTTGTTTTTTTTTAATTTTAAAAAAAAGCAAATCAAGATTGACAATTGTCAAGCAATGGCAACTGCCAGGACAAAACATGCAACCCACAATCCTATTCCCGAATTGTAAAGCTTTGAACCGATTATAAACCTAATCAAACAAGACCTACCTACGGTTAATGGATAAATATGAATTGCCTCAAATTAAAAACAAATGTTATATCGTAGCATGAAAAAGAGTTTCATGGGGATAGTTATGTAACACCTAAGTATTTATTATCGTAATTAGGTTATGTGATGAGAAAGATAAGTACTTGATATTCACCGGAATGGAATTTACACATTTTATTCTCATTAAATCCTGCTTGAATTTTACATATAAGTAATATTCACCAGCTGGGTCATCCGCGAGAAAATAGAACAACCTAGTCCCAATGTTCCACATGCTCAATAATAAAGCTAAAATTTTCTTACATTTAGTGACTATAATTTTCAAATCAATAAAAGATTCCACTTCGATGATTTTAACGTTTGATCTAAATTATTTTATTTTTCATAAAACTATGATAAGTTTCAAATAATTTATGAAATTGGGTTAATTAACACATTATAGTGATTAGATTTTTATTTATATATTTATAAATTGTTGGGGGAGTGGGGGTTCAAATTGAAACATTCTCCATATACCACTGGACCAATAACTAGTTAATATATATAAATTTTTATGCTCTTAATTGTCCCAAAAACAAAATGGTAGCTTTCTCACTTCATTATCAATTCTTTCATTTCATCACAACAAAGTCTGGCAAAGACAATGAGAAAAACAAATCAGTTGGGAGTTGCCGAGCTCCTTATTGTCCTCTTTCGGTAATTCCAACCAACACAGAATGCTGCACTGATTTGCCAGTTATTTCATCAATCAACCCTCATTTGCTTGAATCATACATTATGTTTTGTATATATTAATGTGGCAACAGTCACATATCATTAGTTCCACAAATAAAATAAAATAAAAGTCACATATTTGTCATCATTTATATAATGCAGCTTAATATATATATATATAGCTTAACAAGCTTAATAAATTTATATGAGAATAGAGCATGATCAAACAGTGAGGTCAAGAGTTCGAATGAGCGTCACTCCTGTAAACTCAGCCGGCCAACAAAATATTAGACTCAATTGAGATAGAGGTATTTGAAAGAGAAGATTTGGATTTGATAATCATGCTAAATTTGTTAAAAACAATTAGAAAACGTTAGATTGAATTAATATATTTGGAAGCCATGTTTTCTTTCTTTCATTCTTATTGACATACATGAATTGTAATAATCGGAAGAAATAATTTAACCATAATGGTTAACACCATCCAATGTTAGCCCCACAGATGGCAGATGTTGATCCAATTAGCAACTTGAAAACCCTAAATGTGGAATTATAACTTCAATTTGTGCTGATTTGCATGTAGTTTCCAAGAAGATGTAAGAAATGTTGATGTTGTCGGTGTACCCAAGTCAAGCTGGCCACTACCAAGACAGAATGCAAATGAGATTTATATATATATATATATCACCCTTACAAGGAGACAAGTATACTTTGTGCTGGGTCTTTGTGAAACCCTAAAAAATTGGGTGGGATTTATTCCCAACTTTCAAAAGTCCTACTTATAGCTAGTTTTATGATATGGCTAAAGAATTTGATCAAGATAATGTGCATATTAATTCTCTATCAACTACTTTCGGTTCTAACACTCTAAGTCAGCTTACAATTAATGGGTTATTTATTTATTTTTTCTTAAACCAACTTGTGTACTATGACTACATTGCAAAGAGAAACCGAAAGCTTAACGTACGTAATGTTATATAGTTATCATCAAGATTGGTTTCTTATTGAAAACATCACTAAGTTTGTCTTCAACCATCAGGTCAAAAAAGGTGGTGAAAATTCGTTATCAGCTAGAGAATAGTAGACCACAAAAGCTTACGAATAGAAATATAGGTGCAGTTTCACCCTAAAGGAAATGGGGAATTAGGTTATGGGGTTTCAAACATACTGCGAAGTTGATCTCTAATATCATGTTGGACAATCAATGGAGCTCAAATACTTAAATTATTAGGAGTACGTCTATATATATACCAAGCTAGCAATTAGTTTGTATACATTTTAGAACTATATGTATTCTAAATTTCTGACGAGTTATATTCTTTTGACGTAGGATCAAATTCTAATAAACTCAATGAAATGACCGAATGTGCTGAATAGTCTTTGCTCTCTCTCTCTCTCTCTCTCTCATTAGGATTGGTGTTCCCTCTACCTTACCTAATTTTTCTCTTCATTAGAAAGAAAAATAATTAATTTAGCAATAATATATCCCCCTCTAAGTAACTACCACAGCTCCTCTTC